ACGCAGCTTTGCACGTCCTGTCATCCCAACACACGGCACTAATTTCCAAAGCTGCCAAGCACACCCGACTGAAGCCCGACAACCGGCCGGCCGTTCTCTGGCTAATTAGTGCATGACGACGACCTGAGAACTAAAAACGTTATGATTACTCCGGTCACCCGACAACAAAGAAAGCTCCGAAAGATTGGCGTCTGTCACGTTAACACCTAGTCTCGATCGCTTCGAAAAACTCTTACATGTTCTCATTTCATACAGTTTGGGCCGATCCAAAATGTTACGGATTCCGCGATTTTGAAATGATTGGTTCGGCCACGGGTATGACTTGTGGGTATGCCTTCGCGTCGCGTCTCCAAGTTCAGAGCCTCAAAGACCGATCCGTGAAAATGGCGTATCCTTCCCCTCGAAAGCGCCGACAGCTTTCTCCCCAGATTTGGCCGATTGTATTTTTTGGCTGCCCCCAAAACTTCTGCAAGTTGTGGGGGACCGGGCCCAAGTTGGGAGGGGTGCCCCCCCCCCCCCATCACTAATGAATAGGTAAGTACACCCCTGTTTTGGTGACCGACAGGAATTAAGACTGACGTCAATAAGTGAGCTGACTGTAGTTACCTTTATTCATGTGAAATATGTGCACCTGCTAGTAGCATTCCTTTACGCAAGCAATCCAGATTCGGAGCCAGGGGTCAGTGGAGCTTGCCTCACCCCCATCCCCCTACGCCAAGTGGTTTGGACATTAGATACGGGACGATTTCGCAGAAATCGCACCCACATTCACCCGACTTTGGATATCAGAGAAAACTTTGCGAATATTTGTCACGCACGAGCAAACTCTTGGCTTCGTCCCTTATGCCAGCTCATATACGGAATGCCAAATAAAGATGTGCAAAAGCTTAGCCATTTACTACAGGCTGGGAAGACACACAAAAATATGAGCTGCAAACCTCTCTCACCTAACATATTTGAAGCGCTTCTCGCCCACCAATAATATGCGAGACTAAGGATCACCTCGGCAGAAGTGGGGCAGCCATGTCACCACCAAACACTAATGTTGTGATCGCACATGTAACATAAGCGCGCAGGTGTAGGGCAAAATGTCGGGAGGGGCACATTCAGATTCAAGTACACATTTTCTCATCGACCAGAAAGGAGCACAAACATTCTATTTATCGTCGACAATGATTACCTGTTCATTGGCTGGAGCACGATGTGCGAATGCCAGCTGTGCCCCAGAGCAAGTAAGTTGAATAAGTGTTACGACTTGGAATGCCGGCACGCTCCAAAGATAACCAATTAACGGTATCGTTACAGGTGCATACCCTACACTTATTGTTTCGATTACCGTCGGAAAATGAATATGATGTAAGTTATCAAAGTGACATTACACATTCCTTACGCACGGCAACGCGCCGGACGGCAATTGTAAATTCATACTTTCCGCCAAAATCGTATCTTTCCGCGCCGTTTCACACAGTGAGCCAAGGTCGAAGGTAAAGAAGGACGCGTGAAAGTGTACGGGGTCCGAAGTGCTGGGTGGGCTGTTTGTACCACTAAAGCCAGTTCCAATCTCTTTAATCTTTTACGAAAGGAAATCATCTGCTGAGCTATATGTATTCTATGCGTGTGAAATGTGCACCATTGCAATAATGGTTGATGTCTTCAAAGGAGGCAGTAACTAAAAAAAATAGCCTGCGTTGTCCGCTACAGCCGCCAAATAGCATTTGTACTCAAAATATGATAGAATTCCAGCATTCTTAACACATTTAAAAACCCTGTGACAATTTATTAAGCTTCTGGTCTTTTTCGTTGTGCAATCGGCAACAAATGTCTTATTGTTGACAACATCCATGTATCATTACTTTAGGGCCCCTAGTTCTGACCTTTGATATGCGTAACAATTGTAGAAGACACTGCGAACAAAGCGCCGCATAGAGCCGTATGCAATCCAAGGCCGTGACAACGTAGCGGCGGAGTAGGTATTGCGAAATACGTGGCTGCAGTGAGGTGGTATAGGTGGGATAGGGGTCTGGTGGCTTGGAAGCAGGCTGGTGGGGTGTTGGAGGAACTTGGTACGTATTTCCGGGGTGTTCTGCTGTGCAGGAGGATTTTGCTGGAGACGTGCTGCCTGTAGCTTGTTACTCAACCAGCAGCTGGTTACGTACCCGCATACCAGGCAGCAAAAAGTATGTGTTACTCGAAACCTGTCCGGCGTGGCGGCAATATTGCATAATAATCTGAGCTCATGCTGGCCGAGGCCAGCATCAAGAGGCCAGAGCTCCGCTCACTGCTCGTTGCAGGTTTTAGTGCATGCAGGAAGGTGTTGAAAGGAATGATGATACTACTATAGTATTTTCAGGCAAAAATGTATTCCAAAATTTTTATAAAAAAGATGTAAAAATTAGGGTGTAGGTATACATTGGTACCTGATGTTAAAAAGAGCATTGTACATTATTAGTTGTGTTTTAGGCAAAACATATCAAAAATAATCATAAAACAGGTAGATTCATGTTCTTACTTTTGAACTTTAATAATTACGATAGCAAGCTCCTGAGCATGCACACACTTGATGTCAAACAAGGTCTTTTGCTATTTCACAAACACATGAGTTTTTATTTGTAATTAATTTATCTAGTAATTGATGTTGATCCTTCTTTGTATGTTGCTAGGTACATCTGCAAAGAACATTATGTGCTTAACTAAGCCAGTGCTAATAGCCCCATTCCCTGTAGAACAGCCTGGAGAATGGAGATATATATATATATATATATATATATATATATATATATATATATATATATATATATGGACATTTCTGCTACTTACCTTTATGAAAATGAATATCAGTAGCAAATTCAAAGCATAGCTGTTATCTTTTGGTGACTTGCTCAGTTGGTCATCAGCATCAGGTTATGGCAAATGTTGTATTTCACAGCCACCACATGTGTGAGGGGCAGTGAACAGCTTGGGGGCAGTTGGCTGCTGTTGCAGAAATAGTCATTGTGAGCATGTCAGTGGCTGTCAACTGGCAGGGTCTTTGTTTATGCTATTTCTGTATAAGTCATTGTAGCTGTCAGCACTAACAGTGACATTTTGAGGTTTATGGTTGGTGAGGCAGCACAATATGGTTGATGGGGGTGCATGACAAGGTTGTCGCCAACCAGTGACATGTTGTTGAAATGTTCTAGAAAAATGCCTGACTTCCAACTGGCACTGGCTGTCAAGTGGAGGCACCGCATTGATCTGGGCTGGGGTGTTTCTGGGATTTGCTACCATGGATTGATGCAGGTGATTGGCAGGTCTGGGTGGATGTTCAAGGGTTCCATTAATATGCTTAGGTGTCAAGAGGCTGATGTGGCCCTGACATATGCACTGCACCACTTAGCAAACACAGATCTTGACAGTGGAGATAGGATATCTTGGGAAGTGTGATAAAGCATTTTACAAATAAATCATCTGGCAATGCAGCTGGTAAAGCAAAATGCCAGTTGTGGCTCAAAAGTGTAAGGAAGTCTTGTCCTTAGGATTTATTCATACTATCATTTCTCATGTGATTTTTACCATTTAGTATTGATGTTAACTGCTGCTAAATGCTGACTTGCCACATTGATGGGTCACTTAAGCCCGATTCCAGGAAACTGACCTCACACAAGCCCCTTGCTTTGCTTTGCCTGCTTTGCCCAAGTTAGATTGGATTCCAAGTCAGGAGCAGTAAGTACAGACCTCACCCTCCTCCATCAGACATCCAGTGGGCCAAGCAGAGTGAAAGGAGCTAGGACAGCAAAACTTTGTCACTGTTTAGTATACACAACAAAGATACAGACACTCATTTTATTTGATTCTTTATGTGGTGACAGGCTCCTTATTTAGGTGCTTTATGTGGCAGCAAGCAACTTCTGCCTGTGCGTGATTGGGCCAAGCGTTGATGTCACTGTACACAAAACTTGGTGCATTGGGTTCTTGGAGTATTGAAAGCTTGTGTTATGAATGTGTTTGATATGAATTATATTTATTCAAGTAAGTCTAAGAATAGGAATGTAATTATTATCACTGGTATGAATGAAAGGCTCATGCGCCGTGGGGAACGGGGTGGGGCTATTACGACCGAACTCAATATGCTTTCGGGATGTGCCAATACTCCGGTTTCGGTTGTGTGTTGCTGGCATGAGGGATGTGGCCTTGTGGGTATGGCGAACGAATCGGACCTCCATTACACATATACTTCCTTGTTAGATTGGTCAACATCTTTCGGCCGCCTGACCCGGAGCGCGAACTCTGTCTCCAGACGTACCGCACCGCGCGATGGCGCGCGCCTCGTTGACCGGCCTGCTGCTGCTGGCCGCGCTGCTGACCGGGCCGCCGGCGCGCGGCGCCGTCGTCGCGCCGCCAGACCCGCCAGATGGCCTGGAGTCGCGCCTGCTCTCCATCAGCAACCTCCCGACTGTCGGCGCGTCCGGCGGCGGTGTGACCACTGCGTCGAGCGCCGCGGTGACGGAGGTGGCCAAGGCCGGTGCACCGCTGCCGGTGGGCCGCGAGAGGGGCAGCCACGCCTGGCCCGCGGCGGCGGACGGCGGGCTGGCGACTCACGCCGCGACGACCGACGGGCCGACGACGACCGGCGCCGGCGCCCAGACCACGGTCGCCGACGCCGGCGGCCGGACGACGCCAGCCGGCCCCGACGCCGACACCGCCGCCACGGTGACGGAGTCGAGCGGCGGTGAGGCGGCGGCGACGGCGACGCCGGCGGCATCGGACACCGACGTCGATGCCGCGGTTACCGCGCCGTCTTCCGGCACCAGTATGGCTGAGCTGACCGCAGAGCCGGGCGCCGCGAAACCCACCATCAAGCCTGCCGACGCAGACGCGGCGCGGACAGTGCCGGCCTCTGCGGTGCCGACGGAGGCGGCCTCCACGGTGCCGACGGGAACGGCCTTTACGGCGCCGACAGAGACGGCCTCTGCGGCGCCGACGGAGGCGGCCTCTGTGGCGCCGACGGGAGCGGCCTCTACGGCGCCGACGGTGGCGGCCTCTGCGGCGCCGACGGTGGCGGCTCCTGCGGCGACGACCCTGGCGGCGGAGCCGTACGGCGCGGACGAGGTACCCGTTCGGCTGGGCGCGCTGGGCACGACACCGGGCCCGGGGGACAGCGCGCCGCCGGCGCCGGAGCCGACGCTCAGCCGACACCGGGCCGACCCGGGCCTGGGGCCGTCCGAGAAGAAGCCCAGCAGCCGTCGCACGGGGGTGCCCGACCTCGAGATGATGGAGAACCCGTCCAAGCCGCGCAAGGGCGCGCCGGAGCCGGCCGCACCCCCCAGGCCGCCGGTGTCGCCGGTGTCGGGACTGCTGTCCGTTACGGAGGGCACGCCTGTGACCAGGGGCTTCTTCGGCGCCGGCGACCCGCCGGCGGCCGGGGCGATCTCGGCGACGGAGGCAGCGAAGGATGCCTCAACTGAGCAGCCGACGGTGGCCGAGGCTCGCGCCGGAGCGCCCACCTCCACTGTCGTCGGCGTAGTCTGTCTGGTGACCTTTTTTGCCTTCGTGGGCTTCTTCGTGTTCCGGAAGGTGCGAGAGGGCTGGTATCGGAGACATTACCGGAAGATGGACTTCCTGGTGGACGGGATGTATAACCTGTGACTCCAGGAACGAAAGCCCGGCACCGCATGAAAGCCACTGCTGCAAACGGGGACAGGTATTTTTAAGCAATAATGTTGCGACGTTTGTGATAGGTGGGGGTCGGAGATTATATTCGTATTGTCAGTCCCATTCGCGCAGATGGAATGGCAAGCGCGTCACCAAATAATTAAACTTAAAGGGTACGAACGAGCTCACTTTGGGCTTCCCATACAGAGGCCGACAATGCAGCGGTGACGGGCTTCATGTATTACCCGAAGTATGACCGGTACCTGCTAGTGCCTGCATTTGTCGTTAACTCATCTAAGCGCCGTCCAGGGTATTCGGAATTGCCCAGCTGTGTCTATGATCTGTTATACGCATTTTTTGCGTGCTACGCATTTTCACGTGCATCGTGCCACCTGCCGGCACTAGGTTTTGTACCGCCTTAATGTTAGTCGTCGTTTTAGTCAAAATGAGTACTTAAGATACAGTTTTACTTAATGTTGTGAATCAGCTCTGCGTTTTGTCCTGAAAGTCATGGGGGCGTTTTTGGCACCAGCTCTTGCGTGGTGTAGCGGTTACGGTGTACGGCTAGTGAAGTGATCCTGATGTCTTTTGTCGGACGTGGGTGTGATAACAATCCTGGGAGTGCCCCAGCGACCGGGCAGGTCCGGGCTGGGTTGGCCCCGCCTGAGCGCATCGCAAGCCCGGCTCCTGCCGCCCCGGTACAGATCTAATCCGTCTGCCGGCCGGAACACCGGTCCACCGCCGTGGTCAGTGCTACCCGCTGTCGGTGCTGCCCACTGTCGGTGCTGTTCACTGCCGGTGCTGTCCAGTGTCGATGCCGCCCACTGTCGGTGCTGTTCACTGTCGCTGCTGTCCAGTGTCGGTGCTGCCTACTGTCGGTGCTGCCCACTGTCGGTGTTGCCCACTGTCGGCGCTGCCCAGTGTCGGTGCTGCCCTGTGTCGGTGCTGCCCAGCGTTCCCGGCGGTGAGCTACGGCCGGCAGAGCCCGCACCGTGGCCGCGTCCTTACGGTCGCCGCGCTGACCGGAGTCACCCACACGCTGCGCTCTCTTGAATAAAAATATATCGCCTGGCAACAGTCTGTGTTTTCCTTTGACGAGAGGTAGCCGGTTCTGCGCGCCGGGCCGGCGGCGAGTCTGGCTCGCCGGGCGGGGGACGCCGGTCGCGCCAGCCAGCCGCTGACGCGAGCGCAGGGTGCGGTATGCTGTCGGCCGTCACGCGCGGGGGAGGCGCACCTGGCCGCGCCTCAGCCGCTCGCCACGGGGCGACCGACCGCGCGCCGGGCCGCTCTCGCGGATCGGGTGGGAGCCTGACCGCCGCCCCGGTCCGGCCGCGCTCGCGGCTCGGGCGGGAGTCGGTCCGCCGCCTCGGGCCCGCCCGTGTGAATCAGCCGGGCCGGGGGCGCGCCCCAGCACAGCCGGACCGACCGGTCGCGCGTACTCGTCTGCTAAGCGGCTGCCGGGCGCGCGCGGCGACGCCGCCCCTGTCTGACCGGCCGCAGATTTTTAGTGGATCGACCGGGCCGTGGTTGGCTGCCGGTCCGCCGGGCACGCGGCTAGCGCCGACGGGCTTGGAGCTTGGCACTCAGCGCCTGTTGCCATGCATGGTTATCTCGCGTGGTTGCATGGATATTTCGTTATGGTCCCAAGTGTTACATTATGCAATATATTACGCAACATAGACAGCTGAGCGCCAGCAGCTCAGCGGAGTGATGTCTCAACCCTTCCTCACCGGCGCAACATTTTTAAATTATTTCGGGAGCAGCTTGGAAGTTCTGTCGGCTTAACTCCGGTGGTATCCCCGCGCCGCTCCTGGCTTGGTGCGCCACTGCTCCCTACCAACGGCACAGGAAGAGCTGGCGAAGGGCGACCCGGCCACGGCCAACTGGGTAAAGGTCAGGTCACGTCCACGTCGGACGTCGGGACACGTCCACCTATGACGTCGACGTGTGCGTCGGAAGTTGAGCGTGCGCCAGCCAGGCGGGGGTGGGGTCCGTAGTGACCGGCATGGAGGCTGTCTCCATCAGGCTGCCTCGCTGTGATGTATGATCATAGCAGCTGGAGCTTTTCTTAGGTTTTAGCTTCACACTGCTCTCTCAACTGTATACACTGTCTTATTCAGTCATGTATCAATAAAAGCACTTTGTCACCCTCCCACTCATTTGCCGCCCTCACATACTGCACACGACACATGCCTACTGAACAGACAGTCAAGTTTATCAAATTATGTCGTTAATCGTAGTTTCGAATGGACGTTTGGAAACATTACAAAACCTTAAATGATAGTGTACTCGGTGTACTGCTGTGCTGCGCGATACAGGAATCACCTTTTCCATGCCGTTTTTCGCACGAGGCAGGTATGGTGTGACCGCCGCGTACCTCGCACCACGCGCTCACTAATGTACACCAGCGCAGTGCGAGTGAGGACAGCGCGGCGCGGCAGGCTTCCAGCGGTCAGAACGCCGTGTAGCAGGCAGAGATCAAAGGAAGAAACAAAATCGGTACGTTGTTTTGGTCTCATGGGCGCGTCGACTGCCGTGGTCATTTTGCGCCCATGACTTGGTCAGGCCGTCTTCAATTCACCAACGCGTGCGTGCGCGCTAGGTGGTCTGGGTCGCCAAGCCTGAGTTAGGCCTATCAAAGTTGGAGTCATACACAGTTGTGTGGCATTGAAGAAGTGAGTAGATTATCTTAAAACCTATATTCTTCGTGACTTTTAAAACGATCCCCGTGTCAAAGATCAGTGAAGAAACAAACCCATGTGCAAATGGTCAGCTTAATTGGTCCCAGTGTATCCCATACGTGGGAACATTATCGTTGACTTGAGATGACCCTGCCAGAGAGGCTGAAGACTTTCTGCAGTGTTGAGATGATTGGACAATTTGCACTGCTGTACATTTGGAAACAGTAGCCTGCATGGGACAGAACTAGGGCATCGATGATACTAGGTGACACGGTTGGAGGAAGCGTTTATTTGCTTATCAAGATGTCAACACCTTTGTTTACTGCCTGAACTACGTCAAAGCTGTATGACAGAGACGGGTCAATAACGATTCCAACACTTCGCACAGTTTCTGAACAATGAACACCTGGCGAATCCGCGCTATGGACGGATACTGTCGGCTTTGGCTAAGCTGTCGGACGGTCACCACACAAGTAAACCTCGGTTTGGGCGGCATTCCCCATCTTCCCAGGCTGCAAACACCACGTGCACGCTACGTTCAGCACCGACTCAAGTGAAAATTTGTCATTTTTTACGTTGGAGTTTGTTTGGGAGAGAGAGAGAGAGAAAGAGAGAGAGAGAGAGAGAAGAGAGAGAGAGAGAGAGAGAAGAGAGAGAGAGAGAGAGAGAGAGAAGAGAGAGAGAGAGAGAGAGAGAGATAGAGAGAGAGAGAGAGAGAGGAGAGAGAGAGAGAGAGAGAGAGAGAGAGAGAGAGAGAGAGAGAGTAGAGAGAGAGAGGAGAGAGAGAGAGAAGAGAGAGAGAGAGAGAGAGAGAGAGAGAGAGAGAGAGAGAGAGAGCTCTCTCTCGAGAGAGAGCGAGAGAGCCGCGCAGAGATTCGAGAGAGAAGAGAGAGAGAGCTCTCGAGCGCTCGAGAGAGAGAGCGAGAGAGCGAGAGCGCTCCGCGCCGCGGGCGCTTCGAGCGAGCGCAGCGAGCGCGCTCGCGAGAGGAGAGCTCGCTCTCTCGCTCGCGCTCGGCTCGCGCTCGCGCGCGAGGTAGCGAGAGGCGCGCTCGCGAGCGAGCGCGCTCGCGCGAGAGAGCCTCGAGCGAAGGAGTCGAGCGAGAGAGAGCGAGAGAGGAGAGGGAGAGAGAGAGAGAGAGAGAGAGAGAGAGAGAGAGAGAGAGAGATTTGACGTTGTGAGACGCTGAGAGACGTTGCCGTTGAGACGTTGAGAGAGATGGTTTTAGAACACTTTTTGCAACACATGAAAGCGAACCCAATGATTTTCCTTTCACTGGAAAAACTCTTCGGACTTGTCCATTTTCATGCTGGCATTCACTCAAGCTTTCCCCGGGGTGCCGCTCTGGATCCGCTCTTGTAAGACCAGGGGTTCTTTATCATGCGCCCGGGGGGGGGGGGGGGCGGTTAGATACCCTTCGCTCGGGTGGGGATCAATTTGACCCCCCCCCATGTGATCTTAGGAACTAAGAGGGCTAGAGACACCAAATTCCCAGAGTGTGTTGATCTGTACGTGAACTCTCTTAGGTCAAATTTTGAGGTTCCTAGGTCATGACCTTCGGGTCAAATAAGGTCAAACAAGGTCAAACTCCAGATTGGTCTCTAAAGGGCCCCTAGAACCTAGGCACCTGTTCTAAGAAAAATTTCGCACGCTCAGTTAAGGTCAGTGACCTTGTTTGACCTTTTATCACGCGCCTGGGTGGCCTGTTGGATACCCTTTGCTCGGTTGGAGGGGGCCAATTTGACCCCCCCGAGATCTCGGGAACTAAGAAAACTAGAGACACCAAATTCACAGAGCGTTTTGACCTGTACGTAAACTCACTTAGTTCAAAGTTAAAAGCTCCTAGGTCATGGCCTTCTGGTCAGATAAGGTCAAACAAGGTCAAATTCCGGATTGGTCTCCATAGGGCCTCTAGAACCTAGGTAACCGTTCCAAGCAGAATGTCACACGCTTAGTTAAGGTCAGTGATCTTGTTTGACCTTTTAAAGGTCGTGATGACCAAAATGACAAGGCTGTCTTGAGTTTTGCAGTTGGATGAGCGACAAAGATTACGCTAGGCGGTATGTTCCTGGAACCAAGATGTTAACCTGGATCATTTTAGGTCAGTTACCTATTTTGACCTATAAGAAGTTCATGGAAGGTGTATAATGCGGTTCCTGCTATCATATGTTCGAAATGAGCACCAGAAACCAGTCCATACAGCAAGCCCGAGAGTAACAAAGCAGGTTGGCTTTGACCTTAGTCTGACTTTCATACCCGACCTCAGGTGAATGTAATTTGCTCGTTCAACTGTTGTGTTGCCTTAGAAAGTATCTCAGAGATGTCTGGCTTCATCTAACACTTTATTGTTTGATCGGATTGAACGATTCTCTAGAACGTGCCTTCTCTGAAACCATGGCCTGACTTTGATTTTGACATAGGTGACCGACCTTACATGGTGCATCTAAATTCAATCCGCTATTATATTGTCTGCGGCTATGCAAAATTTGGCGCGGCTGCGCCGCGCCGCTCGGAAACCATTCCGGTAAAACCGTCGGGGGGGGGGGGGCAACTTGACCCCCACCCGAGCGCGTGTTAAGCACGAAAGCGAAAAGCAAAATGTTGCCTTACATGGATAGATTGATTTTGAGCCTTTTTTTTGCTCTTGAACAAATTGGCCCATTTTCGGCCATAGTGCGAACAAACAGATCGTTATCAGTCCGGACAGCATTCTGAAATCATCTGAACCTGACATCAGTGACATGAAACGTGCCCGACCGCCTGCTTGTGGAACATTGCGTGTATCTATAGCCGCGATATCCAGCGACGTCCGCAGTTCTGAAGAGATCAGCACGGTCCAATCTCTCCAGATCTGTGGACATCCCGCCAACTTTGCTGCTCTGACGGCTCCCAGATGCATGCGCACCATGACGCAGCGCTAACGAGTCACTAGGTGCGCGCACGCCGAAATACCGCGGGCTTGGCGGTTTCCTGACGCTGCCAAAGCCCTGCGCGGCGCAATTTCCCGGTTCCGAGGGAGACGCGGCGCACGCGCGGATATCCGCTGTACGAGCGGCACTGAGCTGGTGGATTTGCCGCTCTGTGAGATGATGCCTCGTTTTATGTGGGAGGCAGATTTCTGCGTTTGTGGTATGTACATGTGTCTGCATGTGTGTAAGCATGCACGCAGGCATATATATATATATATATATATATATATATATATATATATATATATATATATATATCATAGGAAGCCGCTTCGTGGCCTCCCATGAAAAAATGATGCTTATCGCTCATGCAACCGCTTTCTTCCTGACAATGACTTCCCGCTTATGAGTCGTGGGAACCGCAAGCTTAAATCTAACTTACTTCACCGTCTGATGCCATGTACGCAATATAGCGCGAGTGCGTCAACG